GAGCTTTTTAGGGTGGAAAAAAAACCAACTAAATGCATAAAAACGCATTTCCATACCCGCCTAAAAAAATAAATTTTCAGTCCGAGCCCAACCCGATTTTGGGAGGAAAAATTCTGCCCAAAACCAAACCAAAATCGTCTCAGACCAACGGGTCGGGCTAACTTTGATCGCCTCCAAACAAATAAGTGAATAACATAAAGTCTTTACTCTTTACAAAAAGAACATGATAATACATTAAACAACATGTTCTTTTTCATGGTCACTCAGGTGGTTGGATTTAATATTTTTTTCATGGACATACATTAAAACACATATTGTATAATGTAAAGAACATATAGTTCAAAGTCAAAAAACATAATAATCAAACTCAAAGAACATATTATATACTCGTGTTGTTTATAAATGTCTATAATGCTTTTTTTTTGTCCATATTCTTTTAAATATACTTAATGTTCTTTCCGGGTGCAAATGTGCATGGTGCAATCGGGTGCACCAACCACACATTATGGGGTATTCATAACTTAATCTCAACGTCTATTTTTCAAATATTAAATTTAATAATTTTTGTTACACAACAAAAAAAATGAGAATAGGCAACACTTAAGATTGCAACACTTACAGAAATGATACTCTTAGTAATCTAAAGCAACAATATTTATTTGTTACCTTGAACTAAAGTAACAGATAAAAAAGTGTTGCTCTAGAATATATAAGGCTACAGTCTCTTAAAGTGTTACCTTTTTCTAGTCTAAGACAACAAACATAATAATTGTTGCATGAAAATATAACAATAACAAAACTATTGCTTGAAAATGTAACATTAATATCTGTGTTGCCATCTACGGCAACATTTATATTAAAAAGACAACATAATTTAAGATATTGCTTTTATGGCGAGTGTGTGTAATGTGTGATTATATATATATATATATATATATATATATATATATATATATATATATATATTTGGTGGAGTTGGTGGTGAAGTCACCTTGTGATTTTGAGGTCACAAGTTCGAGCCCTACAACCTACTAAATGCTTGGGAGTGGAAACATTTAGAAACATTTTTGAATTGTCTCCTTAGATGGCAACATTTTTCATTTGTTGTCTTTGTAAAAGTGTTGCCTTATGTATTATTTTACCTTGGTTTTCAAAATTGTTGCCTTTGAATAAAAATGTGTTGCCTTATGAATAGACAACGGGGGCATATACGACGCCTCATATGTGTTGCCTTAGCTACAAGACAACACTTTTTTTATATTAGGCAATGGTTTTTCACTGTTACCTTTGCTTTATTTTGTTGTAGTGTTACTCCCTATATTTTAAAGTAAATGTCACGCAAACTACCCATGGTCATTTCAAAATAGGTACCCATTTCCAATTTCCTTACCATATAAAGTTTAACAAAACTCTTATAAATACATCTATCCCTAAAGTGCATGGACATTTACATCCCTAAAAAATGGTCTTCTACATATATCCCCCTATTTAATTTCAAAAGCTTTAAAATTGTGCTTATTTCAATGATTTGAAGCCATCTTTTACTATCCCCATTTCTTTTTTGTTTTTCCTATTTGGAATTTAAACATTAATTGATATAAAGTATTAAAGAGACAATGAATTAACTTTAGTACACACACATATATATATATATTCATCAATTCGTTCCAATAAGTACTTAAAATCTGTAAAACATTTATAATTTCAGGTGTTGATCGATCTTTGTTTGTCGTTATTTCGCTAAATCAAAGTAGCTCTAATAAAGTTTGAACATTGTATATGTACACAACATCCAACACATTTATCGCCCCTAAATAATTATAATAAAAAAACATTATGCAAACATGAATAAGGCATTAAGGCTAATGGTAATACTTCTTCTCAAAGGGCTAGCTATAACGCGCGCATTGAATTTCCTAGTTTATAAGCATGGGTTTCATTATCTACAGTTCCACACGATGTAGCCCCGTATGTACTTATGGACAATTTTTCCCTTAATTAATGAACGTCTCTTTGATTTCCCTAACAATTAAACACAAAAAAAAAGAAAAAATAGCACTAAATATTTCATATTATTAATCCATTCTACAGAGGAGTAGTATTCTTTAATGGTTAGTCACTCACATTTTATTCTATTTCTCTTTGTTCTCACACTTTTGCTTAATTTAAATATTTAATTAATAAATAGTTATTGGTCTGGACAATGCCCTTGATACATCATAAATTACAAATTTGATCAAAATTAATAAAAAAGGTTAATATTGAACAATATTAATAAGTAAATGAAAAATATAATAATCTTTATTATCTTTCATTAATATATAAATATGTCAAATTAGAATTTTTCAAGTAAATTAAATGTTATTATAGAGAATTAAAATCACACAATAATATTGATTATATCCACGTTGTAAATTTTTTTTTAATAAATTAAAGAACTTTTTGTGAGAAATTACCTAATAGAACCTAAATTTTGTGAGAATATGCAAAATAAAAAAAATGTTTTAAGAAACTACCAAACCCTGCATAGCTGCAACAGCTAGCAATGACCTCACAGTGGTCATCATTGCAACTGGTGCAAAGGTTTGATCAAAATCAATCCCTGGTCTTTGTCTGCAACCCAAGATCACCAGTCTAGCTTTCTTTCACTCCACAGTTCCATCTGGATTCAACTTAGTTTTGAAAATCCACTTGCTTCCAATGGCCCTTTTTCCAACAGGTAAAGTTGTATGTTCCCAAGTTTCATTTGCTTCAAGAGCCAACAGTTCTTCATTCATAGTTGTTATCCAAGTTGGATCATTTTTTGCTTCATTGAATGAGATTGGATCAGCTTCCTTGGTCACACTTGCCAGAAAGCAATAGAATTCCGAGGACACACCAACATCACTGTCTTTGGCTACACATAGAGGTTCAAGCTCAGCATTGAGTGCCAATTCTTGTAATCCTTCATCCAGAAGGGTTCCTATCTTGGTTTGGTAGATTTTCTGATCTCAGGCTGCTGAGTTTGTGGTTCTATGTGTTCTGATCTATTTTGTGAAGGTGATGATGGTGGGTTGACAGCAGGAGAGCTAGGAACTTCATCAGTATTCTGTGTGACATTATCAGAAGCAAGATGTATAGGTGAAAAGTCTTCATACTGCAAAGGAGAGGGTGTTTGTGGTGTATCTGTGGGAACAGGCTGAAGAATGCTTTTGAGAGTGGAATTGTTGTAAGGAAAGATATGTTCATGGAATTTTACATCCCTTGAAACAAATCTCTTTTGAGTGAGAAGATTCATGAGCACAAAACCTTTGGTATTGGGTGGATATCCTAAGAAAATACAGGGCACACCCCTAGGATTAAGTTTGTTAGGTTTTAGTGTGGGGTTATAGGCAAAAGACAAACATCCAAACACTCTCATTTCATCATAGGCTGGGGGTTTTTTGTGAAGCTTTTGGAAAGGAGTTTGATTAGCTAGGACAGGTGTAGGTAGTCTGTTAATTATGTAAGCAGCCACAAGAACACAGTCACCCCAAAAACTCAAGGGAAGACCAGATTGAAACCTAATTGCCCTGGTAATTTCCAACAAGTGCTTGTGTTTTCTCTCTGCTCTTCCATTATGTTGAGGTCTCTCAACACATGAAGTTTGATGCACAATACCATATGCAGCAAATAGAGGGTTTGCCTTGGTGTCATGCAACTCAAGGGCATTATCAGACCTAACAGTCTTCACCTTCCTACCAAACTGAGTTTTTGCATAATTCACAAAAGTTTCAAGAATGTTCAAAGCCTGAGATTTCTCTTGCAGAAGATATATCCATGTATATCTACTATGATCATCTACTATAGTCAGGAAAAACCTGAATTTTCCCTTGAAATTCACCTTGTAGGGACCCCATATGTCAATGTGAATAATCTCAAATGGAGATTTTGCCACTGACTTGCTCAACTGAAAAGGCTGTTTGACAAATCTAGCCATAGGGTAGGTTATACAAGTGCAGTCATATGACCCCACCTGATCAGCTAAGACTGGAATCAATTTCAGCTTAGGTGTGGGAGCATGCCCAAGTCTGTTGTGCCAGAGTGTGAACAGTTCTACACTGGTCTGAGCTTTACTAGAGGTTGCTTTACCACTAAAAGCAGTGCAAAGAGCATTCAATTTCACACAATCAGCAGGACTGTCTATGAGATAGTACAACCCATTGTGAAGTTTTCCCAGACCCATAATTTTTGGTCACGTACTATTACCCCTTATCACACAAAAATCAGAATGAAACATCACATTACAATCATTATCTCTATTTAGTTTATTTACAGAGAGAAGATTATGTTTGAATGTGGGCACTCCCAAAACACCTTTCAACAACAGACCATCAGCAAGTTTTATGTCATCAATATGAGATACTTTAGACACAACACCATTAGGCAAGTTAATGCTAGGGATATTGTTAACCAAAACAGAGTTTTTCATAGCATCAATTTTATATGTCATATGGTCAAAGGCTCCCGAGTCTATAATCCACACATTTCCATCAATAGCAGCATTGCAACATGTCACCATACCACCAAATATATGATCTAACTCATCATCAGTTTCAACTACAGTAGAGGATGAGTTAGCATTCATACAAGAGAATTTCTTCAAAAATTGGTCAAATTGAGCTGCTGTGAAGGTTACTGATCCAGCATCTGAGGGGCTTTCTGAGTCTATCTGTCCCATTGCAGCTACTTTGGTTTCTGTTTTGGGCTTGCCCTTCCCTTGCTGCTGTTTTCTGGACTTTGGATGCCATCTTGGGTATCCTACCACCTCAAACCATTTTTTGGCGTAGTGTCCTTTCCCACCACACACATTGCAGACAACTTCAGAGGTTTTGCTAAACATAGCTGCTGTTTCTACCTCAGGTTTCACAGATTTGAGCACTTCTCTCTGCGATTCCTCTTGTTGTATGGCAGAGCAGGCCGTTTCAACAGTTGGAAGAGGAATCATAAGCAGGAGCTGACTTCTCTGAGGTCTGTAATCTTCATCGTCCATTTAGGAACTGGAACAAGTGACTCTCCTCCTGCTGCCTTTCCATAGCCCGCAGGAAAGCAGTAATGTCTGTACCCGTTGTGGTTATAGTTGGCAGAGCACTCACCGCTTCCAGCTCCTTCCAGAGACTCCGCATGTTAGTGTAGTACTCGTGCACTGGCGCACCACCTTGCTTCAATCCATACAGATCTCTGCTGATCTTGTATTTGCGTGACCCATCTGTGAGAGAAAACTGCTTCTCAAGGTGTGACCATATCATCCTTGCTGTGCTCAAGAACAGTATTGAGCTTTTGATAGAGTCCAACACCGAAGCATGAATCCACCCTATAACGGTGGAGTTGCAAGTGTCCCATAACTCCGCCTTGACAGAGTCATCAATTGGGCGACTTACGCTCCCTGTCACAAACCCGAGTTTGCGCTTTGAGGACAGAGCGATTTCCATCGATCTTTTCCAGGTCTGATAATTGCCAGATCTAGTGAGCTTGGAAACGGCAATGGTATGAGTACCATCAGAAGGATGCAAATAGAGTGGATTTGTGAAGTCCAAAGAAACATTAACGTTTGTTTCTCCGGCCATTTGGATATTAGGGAAGATGATTTCAGCAAATCTAGGTCAAAATCAATTTGGGAATTTCAATTGAAAATTTGTGAAATTGCTCTTCGAATACAACAAGGCTTCCTACAATCTACAGCTCTCAATATCTGATTTCAAAGCAACTTTGCTCTGATACCATGATGACAATGGTCATAGAGAGATCTGATAGAATAGAGAGGGAAGCACTGATTCATTGATTCAGAGAGCTCTGCAAAGCAGCTTACATTATATATACAATGATGCTCAACGGTAATAAAACACTAAGGACAAAGGAATAATAAAAAAGGACAACCCACCATTCTAAATGGCAGCTGGTACAGTGCTCACAACAAGACAAGAAAAGAGAATAAAAGAAATAGCTAGGAAACTTCCTCTCATCAGGTTTGCATCTGCTGGTGAAGTTTATTCGGGTTCTCTGCCTTCCTGTTAACTCCCGTAGGTTTGGGTGCTTGTTTTCTTCTTGTTGTTTTTAATTTTCCTTAGTGTAGTTATGTTGTTCTGGATTGATTTGCTTGCTTTGTTGTTTTGGTTGTTGTTTTTAAATAATTCTCTACCTCTGCTTAGTTATGAGTTAGAGTTCCATGCTTTAGTTTACGTTTTGGAAGTTAATGAGGAGTTCCCGTTGTCTTTGGAGCCTTGTTGGTTGGCTTTAAGGGTTGTTATTTTAAGAAATTCCTTGTTAGTTGGGCTGGTGGTTCGTCTAGTAGCCTTGTCGGGGTGTGAATATGTTCTCCTGGTAGTCAACATAGTTTTTTAGGGGATGGAGTTACTTGCGCAGGTGGATGGTTTTCCATGCATATGGAGTTTGCAGGAGGAGAGTGGTCTTGAGGGAAGAGTTTCGTTTGTTGATCTTGTTGCTTGGTTATGGGATGATATAGGCATTCATGCAATTGCAATCATCCCTTTGTTAGTTTTGGTGATGGCAAAGTCAGTCATCGCTGTTAATCGATATCTTGTAGGAGGGTACCCATCTTTAATGTTTGGGTTAAGCAAAGTCCTCCAATTTCTTGCATTATCTCTTGGTAGAGGTGCAAGAAGAGAACCTGCATTTGGATGCATGGCTTCTCAGGGTAGAGTCATTAAAGCATAGGACTCTATTGGTTTTATTCCCAGACTCCTAGGATGCAGTTATGGTTTTCAACCCCTAGGAGTGGAATTGTGTCAAAGGTCCGTTCGTCAGCAACAGGGTACATTCAGCTTCCGGTTCTTCCGTCTCTCAACAACTTCCATCTTGAGTTTACTTAGGTGTGAGTGCCAATTTCGGGTTCCTTCAATGGTTATGTCCTGTGCTCTTGGTCCATCTCGACTATTTTGGCTCATTTGGCTTCTCTTGGACTACAATGTGGATGTGGTACGATCCTCGTGGTTATACAAGCTCCGCGGCTGCTGCTATAATGCTACACGACTTTTACAGTTTTTTGTTTTCTTCGTTCTTCCTGTAATAGTTAGTAGCAACCCCTATGTGAGGGTTTGCTTAAGTGTGTTCATTAGCTCTTTTAGGTTGTAATTATGCCTTTATTTATATAATGAGTTGATCTTTGTGGAAAAAAAAAAAAAAAAAAAAAAACTTGCTCATAATTTACGGTGAATTAAACATAGCCCATAGTATCTTTGTCAAAAACAAAATAATAATAATAATTAAATAAATAAATAAATAAATAAATAATAGCCTATAGTAGTAGCGAAACTAGTAACTTGTTTTGTGGCGTGTGAATATGATCTACCAACTTGAACAATTGTTTTAGTTTTGGCCTCCAAACTTTACGACTTTTGTTAGCCACTTGCTTGTAAAGTAATGAACTCTCTTAAGTAAAACAAAAAAAATGACAAAAGTAGTTCAATCCTAAAAGAAGAAAAACAACATACCACTCCCAATTTAACTTTCCGAAGATTTACACCACCTGGCCCGAAATTTATGGGGGATTCTTTCTTTTCCCATTATTATTAGAACAAAATCAAATCTTTCCTTAATTCCAAGTACAAGTATCATTTAATTCAATCCCAAAAACATGGGTTGTCAAATTTTGCAACTAATTATTGTAACTGTAACTCTGTTAATCTCTGCTTCTTATGCTACTGAATACATTCGGCCTAAACCTCGTCAACTTCTTCATTTTCCATGGAATCGTCGCAGCTCCACCGAACCCCAACAGGTTTTTTTCCATTTATTCATTTTTATGTACTGAAATTTTATTAATTGGTTAATTTGATTGCTATAATCTTTGGGTTTTGGTTTGATTTTTAACTTATGAATTGGGTTTTATTTTTGATATTTTTTTGGATGGTTCGTGTATTTATCTTCAGTTTGTTTCAATTTTTTTTTTAATTATTTTTTTCTGTTTGCTTATGATAAATCAATCCTGTTGGAGGTGATCTTGGTGTTATATGGAGGAAAGGACCTAAATTTTACTTGTATAAAGGCCTGATTTGATTTTAGGTCTTGAGTAACCACGGATTTACTATACCACTCTAGACTTTAATCAACTAAGATAGTTGACATCTTCCCTAGTAAAGGACCTTCATGACTCATGAGTAGTTTTTAGATAACATAGTCGGGTACTCGGGTGTTAGCCAACTCCAAATCAATTTGGGACTAAGGCTTTGTTTTTGTTGTGATCGAAGTATATGTGGAATGTGGTCATATATCTAGAGAAACTTTGCTTAATTCTTGTTCTGTAGTAGGTAAATTGATTATGCAAAATTAATTAAACCCTTAAAAAATGTAAAGGAAAGGAACATTGTGTGATTGTAAGTAGAAGTTGTAGTTGGGATGAAATTAGAATGTTACTAGTGACATTTCTTTGCTAAAGCATGACTGCATAAGTGGCACAAACTCAACAATCAGGATTCTACATTGTTAAACTTAGAAATTTGCATTATAGATGGCAAAATGTGAATTCTTTGTTGTCTTTCCAGTCTCAAAGGCGCTGTTTTTTCTTATTTGTCAACGTGTTGTCTTTGTGTGACTGCATAAATTTGTTGTTTGATTGAGTAGTGCTTATATTTGTATCTTGCATTTAGGGCCTGTTCTCTTCAACTTATTTTCAGTTTAGTTCAGTTCACTTCAATTCAGTTTAGTTCCAATGAGTTCAATTCAGTTCCTAATTTCCTTCTCTCATAAAATACAACTCAGCTCCAATTAGTTCAGTTCAGCTCAATTCAGTAAATCAGAACAAGCCCTTAGTGAATCTTTGTTGTAAGATTGGGCCTATTCTTCCTTTACATTATGTCAAGAGGTTTTTGTTTTATGCAAGCTAAACTACATTGTTGCATGAGATACCCATCCACAATGGTGTGTGAGTTAAGGGGTCGAAGGAAAAGCAAATAATGCAGGAGTTTTAAGGCAATCTTAAACTGAAGTATTAGAGGTCTTATAAACATTTATTTTGTTTTCAGGTACATATCTCATTGGCAGGAGACAATCATATGCGAATTTCATGGGTTACAGATGATTCATCTGCTCCTTCTATAGTTGAATATGGAACATCACCAGGACAGTACTCTGCAAAAGCTGAGGGGGAGAGCACCTCCTACTCTTATATGCTATACACATCAGGAAAGATACATCATACTGTTATTGGGCCACTGAACCCTGACACTGCATACTTCTATCGTTGTGGAGGGGAAGGTCCAGAGTTCCAGCTGAAAACTCCTCCAGCTCAACTACCGATTACTTTTGCTATTGCTGGTGATTTAGGTCAAACGGGCTGGACAAAATCAACGTTGGACCACATAGATTTATGCAAGTATGATATGCATTTGCTACCAGGAGATCTTTCCTATGCTAATTACATGCAACATAGGTGGGACACATTTGGTGAACTAGTGCAACCACTAGCTAGTAGTAGGCCTTGGATGGTTACGGAAGGAAACCATGAAAAAGAAAACATCCCTTTAGTGAAAGAAGGATTCCAATCATACAATGCACGATGGAAAATGCCATTTGAGGAGAGTAGTTCAAGTTCCAATCTTTATTATTCTTTTGAAGTGGCAGAGGTGCATGTTATCATGCTTGGTTCATATACAGATTATGATGAATACTCTGAGCAATTTCGTTGGATAAAGGTTAGCATTATTTCTCACTCTTAATCTTTTGATAGATAGTGTGTGATCAAATTGTTTGGAACTTTGAAGTGATTTTACTCGTTTATTAGTTCTGAGACCTCTCTTCAGCCTTAACTCATTTGGACCCCTTCATCACTAACAATATGCTTACTGATTGTTGCTACTATCATGTATTTTGCCAAATAGTTAATAGAGGCTTACTCCATTTGCAAAGTTTCTAATGTTTTAACATGTATAGTGATCCCATTTCTAGGAGGTATTGATGGAAAAAAGAGATTGAATCGAGATAAAGATATATCTAATTTGCATATCTACTGATCAAATTGAAACATTGCTGCATGTATTTTACACTAGAAGATATACATATGGTAGTAATTACTTGTTTCCGATGGTTGGGATGCTTTATACAAGAAATATTTACTCAAGGATATGTTTAGTGCCGTTATTGGGTTTGCTTCACCCGTCTTTCATTTTACAAGTAGAGATTTTAAAAGCCTGTGACACTTAGTGATCTGGACCTTATTACTTTACTGATTGCAAATTTAGTGTCAAAGATCTGTTCTTGATTATATACCTCTCAATGCCGTACAAGGTATTGCTCTGATAGAATATGTTCTTACTTGGACACTAATATCCTGGATAATGATTGCTACTTGCTAGAGGATGCATTAACTGTAGTCTACTGTGTTTTCCATTTGTATAGGGAAGTATTATGCATGGCCTCACACTACTGATAAGTTGGATATATTCTGTAATTTACATGGGGAAACATCTTGTGTGGTCTTTTGTTCGCTAATTGAATCATTGAATGTAATGATTGTTAGTTGGTTAATCCATTTAAGGCCTTTTGTTCTGTTAATTGAATCATTGAATGGATTGATTGTTACTTGGGGAACCCAATTTGGTATATTTTTCTTTTTTTTTTTCTTTTTTTTTTTTTTTTTTCTTTCTGTAGCTTGATATTACTTAACCCATGTTTTATTTATAGGATGATCTTAATAAGGTAGACAGAAAGAGAACTCCTTGGTTGATTGCTTTATTCCATGTCCCTTGGTACAATAGCAACACGGCTCACCAAGGTGAAGGAGATGAGATGATGTCATATATGGAACCATTACTCTATGCTGCTGGTGTAGACATGGTGCTTGCTGGGCATGTGCATGCTTATGAACGATCGGTATGAGTGTTTTTAATTCCTTTATCCTGTTGGTCTTTATAAGAAATTGTATGTTAACTATTTGCCCATATGTTGACAGAATCGAGTGTATGGAGGTAAATCTGACCGTTGTGGTGCCATCCATATAACTATTGGTGATGGTGGGAACTCTGAGGGTTTAGCTCGAAGGTGTGTACTCATGAACCTTCTTCATTTGCACTTTACATGTGTTTACTTTCTGGCCTTGTTAGATAATCATGTAGAAGGAATACTCAGCTACTTATTGCATTAATACTCATGATATAGACTTGTGAGTAGATAGTATATATGAAGGTAACTTTATCAGTTATGAATAAATGATCACTGCTTTTTTAATGTTAATTCTAAATTTTCTCAGCCTTTTTGTTCATTTCATTCATAAATTTCAGGTTGGTACTGATTTTCTATTTTTCTTGATCCTCTTTAATGTATTGGTTTTCTATGGACTTCAGGTATCAAACTCCGCACCCTGAGTGGTCAGTATTCCGGGAAGCAAGCTTTGGCCATGGGGAACTCCAGATTGTGAACACATCTCATGCTTTCTGGAGCTGGCATAGGAATGATGATGATGAGCCGGTTAAATCAGATGAGGTCTGGATAACCTCTTTAGCTAGTTCAGGATGCCTTGCAGACAAGGCACCTGAATTCAGGAAAATACTTTTGGAGCCATAGGACTGTCAGATAGTAGCAACTGTTTTCGTATTCCACTATTCCTGTTATCAGTTAGCAGGAATCCATGTAGATATTGTCATCAAATCATGTTTGTACCCTGACTAAAGATGGCTATAGAGCTTGTTTTTGAACCTCTGCCGCTAGAGGGATATCTGACAGTCTTGGTTTTAGCAGATCCTGTATCTTGCTTCTGTACTGGAATTTGTGTCCACTACAGCTTATGTTGCTATTATTGTTTTTGTAACTGCGTGGTGTAATCTAAAATTTCACCATTGTAGTACACATTGTTTATATATATAGAAGTGCTCATATATCGTCCTGTTTAATCTTGGACCTTTTCTGCATACTTGCAGGCATTGTAGTATTGTTTCAGTTATTCCTACATCACAGTTTTAAGATTTATATCTGTGGATCAATGTATTTTTCTATTAAAAGGCTTGCAACAACTTGATTGAGCCATGGAGATCCCATTTTCAGTGAACCAATGTACAAATTTCAAGAATGTGATAAGATCCATTTTCAGCCCTTCTCTCTAGAAGAAATCAGAACTATGATTTCAGCCGGGGTTTCTAGTTGCTCAATTAGGGCAACTAATTGCTAATTGGCACAATTTTGATTAACAGTGGATGCGGTGTAGAAGAATGATACTGACTACTGAGTGAGCTGCTGTAGCTTAGGTTATTATTTCTGAAACAGGATACCAAATATACAACCATGAAGTATTCATGCTCAAACAGCGTTTTAAATGGAGCTCAGGCACACCTGCAGGTTATTTACTGAATGCATCGGAAATCCAGAATAATTGTGGAAGCACAGACTCGGCTTTACTCGTTGAAATTCTGAGTAGTAGGAAGTGCATCCCTGTTGACTTACACACATCTCACCACCATATATGGAAAAATGCAAAGCATCTTCTCACTCGATGTGTGCAAACAGTCTTTAGAAATGAAGTCCTGCAGGCACATGATGATAGAAATTGTTTGCAAGGAGAATTTGAGGGTTCATTAGTTTTTCAGTTAAGTTTAGTGGATGTTCAAAAAAAAAAAATAAAAAAAAAAATAAGTAAAATAAAATAAAAAATTGCAACATTGCCAAGTCGAGAAGAAATGTTAATAGATGTATGTTCATATTTTGACATAGAATAACTACAAGATTAAATCTCATTTAGATTTTGTAATTATCAGGGTACAAACTGTAGAGCAAGGAATCACTACAACCACAACAATTGAAGCTACAGCTTGTGCATTGTCAACTGTTATAGATATTGACCAAGCTTCAGATGAAATAAACATGATGACACAATGAACATGACAATCCTCAGGTGTCTCTTCTCATCTCCAATCATCTCCACAGCCACGACCAGAACTCAGAGCAGCAATTACTAGGACTCACTGTCATCCATGCCTTTAAATAGAACTATAGAAGTATGTGTAATGATGGTCCGGCTTCAAATCTACATGACATACAGCAGCTTCAAGCACGAGAAACCTCCTGATTGTGTGAAACAATCTTCCCATTTATCATATAGGAAAGTGTGACGATTGACGAAGGTCAATGAGTACATCTCTTACTTGGACCAACCTGAAGCCATCAAGCCAACAGTAGTGATAAGATGTTGGGTAATAAGTAATACCAGAGCGACTCTCATTCATGACTACAAATTTGATGGCTCATTTCTATAGCTAGCTTGATTGTCTTGGTCGCTCTTTCCCCTCCAAAGAATCATATGCTCGTCCTTGAACAAGATTGGGATACATGGTACTAGGTCCTGCATAGATTTCAAAATGATGGTTAAAAACGAAAATGTGAAAGAAGCCAAATTTAAGTAAAGAGATATACCCTTAGTCTCACACCAATCCTTTTGCAATCGCTGGTTCCAACATAGGTACAGTCCAGTCTCACTACCTCTTCAGTCTCGAAGGCATCTCGCACTCTTTGAACCACATTCACATACACACCATTCCTGGCTAAGGAAACACATCAAATCCCTATTATTATTTTTTAAATCATGCTGCCTAATATTTCATAAATCATAACTTCTTAAGCAATTGAAAGAACAGAGAGATAACTTGAAATAACATACTGAGTTTCATAAGAGCAAGAGAATTAAGCCCCTGGTTCCTCAATTCTTTGGTTTCTTCGAAAGTCAAGCCATCAGCAACATTCTTCACAAGCTTCGGATAAATTGGAGTACGAGGCTTCCAAAGCATTAAAGGAATCACAGGTCTGTTTTTGGGATCATAATTCCTACCCCGATACAAAAGTAAAACATTCAGGTGGCGGTAGATGACCTTTCCACCTGATACAAGAGCACAAAATCAACATCTCTGAATGACCAGAATTCCCACCAAAAAAGTAGACACTATTAGATCAGTACCTCCAGGTGAAAGCAAACATTGTCCATATCAAGCGTTGGAATTCCCAAGCATTTGATCCTCACAGCCTCAGCTCTCCGCCAATGGTTGTGGACGTCATCCAACATGTTATGTGTAACTCCATCCTTCCCTAAACCAGTTACAGAAAAACAAATATGTCAAGCCAATTTTGAGTAACTCTATCTTAATGAGGACATAGCAGCCACTATGATGGACCACAATAAGTGTACTAGATTACACAAAGCCATGAGTCAAGACAATTAATCTCCCTAATGCGAGAAATCAATAACTATGTATATACATATTCGCATTACATACACAAGTACATAACCTTGAAATTATGCTCCATATTTTGTAACTAGAATACTGTAAATTTAATTCTTTATGTTCATCAAACATTCAAACGGCCAGCATACAGCAAGATTCATGCAGGTAATTGTTCTTCTACACTTAGGCTTCTGCTAAATGATCAGGGAGGAAACAAATACATACATAATATTGATTAACACGAACACGATTATAAGTACATGTCACATATGTACCTCAATTTCCTGCAAACCGCGAACAGACAAAGACGAATTAATACATAAATGTGGCACATTTTGCCTATACTAGGTAGCAAATTGCATACTCATACACCCCTAAGACATGTTGAATTCTTAATTTCTTGTCAAATACAAACCAACAACAATCCAAATTATTATATTGGGTATGAATTTCAACAATACTCAAGCACGTTCATAAACTAATTAACCAAACCATCCACATTATCACACAAGAAGCTACCAAACAATCCAAACATTTCAACCCCATGTAGAAGCTTATGATCATCCCCAAATGTTAACTTTGCAAATGTTCGACTTTTATGTTTTTACCAGACCGGAACCTCTAATGAACTTAACGGATTGAATTGAATAAAAGGAGAGAGAAAAAGTACCAATATTAATCTGGCGATTACAATCATTATGACGATACTTCTCCACAAGCTCAGCAACCTCTTCTTCAGAAAGCGGCTCACCGAAAACTCTCTCTTTCTCCCTCTCCCATTGTTCTCTCTCCTCTGTCTCCCCTTGGGCCGGAGCATTCGTCCCGGTCCATTTCCTGTCAAGCCGGCCCGGCCCAAACGGAGAAAACTTGGGTGGTTCACAGAATCCAATGGGCTTAACAGACGGGTCGGATTAGGAGTATGAGTACCGAAAGTCGAAGGGTAAGTCGGAATTTACAGGAAAATTGGGGGCATTTTGGGGATTTTTGTGGGGTTGTTTCTCCTTCTTGTTCTTGTTTTGGGGTTTTGGGATGAGAGAGAAAGGTGGGTCGTCGGCGTCGGAGGAGAGAGAAGAGAAGGATGAAGTGAATTGGGTTAGAGGGATGTAACGACGTCGTATTAGGAGGTTTAGCATTGGCTGTTGAAGAAGTAAACTTTTTCTGGTTACTCTCACTGAAAGTGTTGAAGAAGAAGAAGAAAGGTTTTATCAGCATTTCAGCAATTTATAATATGGACTGGATTTGAAAGAATTTTGGGCTTTCTTTTGTTGTGGACTTGTGGCCAAGGCCAATCATTATGGTTTAGATTTCATTTTTTTTAGTAAAAAATTGCCGGAATTAAATAGAGCTATCAATTCAGGTCTACGATCAATTTCAGAAAATGATTTGTACAAATACGTCGTAGTATTCATACAAATCGAATGTGCAAAAGTGTTTTTTTTTTTTTTTTTTTTCAGTTTACTGTGGTTTTTGTTGGTTTAGGGTGTTTTGACAACCCTTTCGTTGTTGGGTGAAGAGGTGGTCAGAACAAGGGATTGATGACTTTAATGTGAGACTAAGATAGGTTAGTTATCTTTGTGATGCTTAAATAGTCATAGAAGTAACATAGTACGAGACTAAGATAGGTTAGTTGCATAACACAAAGTAGCTAGTATGAAGATACTAGGCAGGTTAGTTGCAAAAACTCTTAACCTGCCATTATCATATGTTAACTTGCATTAGTTGCATAATGGATGCCCAAGTCCAAAGCAGCAGTCACATTGTTATATATGTTATACTCTATGACGGCAAGGCACATGGTAGAAGTAAACGTTAAACAGCCTGATACTGCAAGAAGCAAGATGATAGAGACTAAAGCAGGATTCTAGCAAACTCACAAAGTGAAGGACAAGAGAAGAATATGATTAATAATCAGCAAGATTTAAATATATTTCTGTTTATCAAGATTGCACTCATGTAGGTACATTGTGTTGGTACGTTAATCATCGATATGAAGATAGATTTTTTAGTGCCTCCTCCTTGAATCGTCTCTGGTCTTTAACCATGGACTCAAAAACATCTAATAAGTTATCCAGCCCCTCTAACTTCTCGCTCCCTCCTAGAGCCTCCAATGCGTACACAATGCTCTCAATGGTAGACAAATATCCGGGCTTAGGCTGACGCCTAACTTCACTGAACATGCTCAACTTCTCCATGTCTAATCTCACAGACGGTATAATTTTCAACCATGGATTCTCATTATACATTCTATTCGCCTTTGACCAAGTTCCGTCTAAAACAATCAAGTTCTTCACTTCAAAGTCGACTGCCTCAGCTGGCATCGCCTTTTGTGCAGGAAACAGAAGTGCTGATCCTGGTGGAACCATGATTTGAAACTCTTCAAATTGTTCTAGTTCTAAACTCCCACTGATCTGCTTCTTTTGCAGCTTCGTTACCACAAACCCTCCTGCTAGCGATTCCAGAGCTTCTGGTGACGCGGCCAGATGCTCAAGATTGTGTGTTTTCCCTTCATCTTGCAGCTTCCACTGATGAGAAATGTTGCTGATTTCTCCATATTTACCAATAGTTACACTCATTACAGCTTTAGGAATTTCTGTTTTCACAATTTTACTAGTTATATTATCACAAACACCAGCAACTTCTGCATCACATTGCTTCAGCAAGTGAACATCTTTCTTGGCCAATGCACCACCACTTCCTTCAAACTCGAAAATTTTATCGACATTTTCTTGAATACAACCCGAAAGCCTCTCACAGTCTGAAATATCAATGTACCCAGCTTCTGAATCAAGATCAGTAACCTGATCAAAACCCCGCTTTCCAGAAATTTTAACCTCTAAACTCTCAGAGGCATTTTCACAAACAGTTGACGTGCATTCGTCTTCTAACAAAATCTCTGTACTATCCAACTCCAATGGCTGAATATCAAACTGAGCTTCAAACATAACATCAGTAACAGTGAAAACATCGACATTTTTCAAACCCAATTTAGCAATTTTTGCAGAATTAAGAGGGTGTTTTCTTTCTAAGCTATGCTGAAGAATGGTGACATGAACTTTGTTATTAAGATTTGGGTGTTTCAGTCGAGTGCAAAGACAGAGAGAAAGAGGTTTAGAGCAAGATGGGCAGGTGGGTCTCTTGGAATTTTGTTGGGATTTCATCTTTAAAGTTGGGATTTTGGAGAGAGAAAAAATTGTTCTGGTAAAAAATGTTGAAAGTTTGCTGGTGCATTGGAAGTTGCTGATCTTAGTCTTGACCTGAGACATGAAGCTTATACACAATTAGGGGTGTTATTTGGGTGCTTAAAAGTTTTGTTTTAACAATATGTTTGCATGGATGTGTAGTATTTTGCTTAGGTAAAGGAATGGAGTGGATGTAACTCATGTAAGGACTAAAAAGAGGAAGATAAATTACATCTTCGTCTATTTGTAAATACGGATATTTTGGTATACCTACTAATCGATCTTAGAAAATTAGCTAACTCATGTAAGGACTAAAGAGAGGAAGATAAATTACATCTTCGTCTATTTGTAAATACGGATATTTTGGTACACCTACTAATCGATCTTAAAAAATTAGCTTTGTTACTAATGGTTTTCTCAATTAGTTATATGTCACTTCCTTAAACTCTACATACATTTCTCATCTAGCAAACTTTACACTTTAGTTCCCCATTGTCTCTTCTGTAGAGGGTTATCGAGCTTATAATGGTTATTAACTTAATATGGTCATGGTCGAGAAGTTAAGCTCTACCTTTCTCATATAGTCATCCTTACACTCAAATTTCCCATCTTTTTTCTTACCAAGAGTTGTCGAGTTCATAACGGTTATAAACTTAATTTGAGCTGAAAATTTAAAATCTACATTTCTCATCAAGCCTCTGTTACATTCTAATTTCTCACTCTCATTCCCGTATTGTATTGTCAAGCTCAAAACAATTATAAACTTATTTTGTGGAAATGCAATTGGAAATGCAATTGAAAAAGAAGAAGTCTAGATGGCCAATAAAAGTTTAAAACCACTAATAAAAATGATAATCTTGATGAAATGATATGGACTAAGAATACCCACATAAGAATCAATTAAGTGAATAGGATGATGACTAAAAATTAGATTAACCTATATAAAACTAGGAAAGAGGCGAAAGAGTAAGGGGTCCAATCCTTAAAGTGTCTATAATGGAAATTGAATCTCAACCTCAAAGATTAAGATGTACAATTTTTTTCACTAGTAGAGTTAAACTTGATAATCGAGAATTCAGTGGTCACTTCTCCACATTCAACAACTTGGATAAAGCATAGATAATGAGGAATGACCAATTTATTACAAACATAAATTATTAATGAAAAACTAGGATTGGAGAGTCGTTGACATCAACTAATCAGTAATTACTCATCACATATTATTGCTTCCATTTCTTAATTTTTTAATACAACTAACCAAATTGCAATAGCTTAAGGTGGCCACACGCCAATACCCACTTTCCCTTTGACCATTTCCAAAATTCCTCGAATAATTCTCTCTCCAATTTCGTCGATCTCAAATCCGATAACCCAGTTCAAATTTGATCAATCTTTGTATAATCTCAAATACCCATTAGTCGAAAATGCATGATTTTTGCTTCACAATCCCATATGGGTTTGTTCTTGTATTGGGCGGGCTCATCGGGTATGCCAAGAAAGGCAGTTTGGCTTCACTTGGTGGGGGTGCTGGTGCTGGTTTATTGCTCATTTTAGCTGGTTATTTGAGCCTCAATGCTTTCAAAAAGCGCAAAAATTCATACTTTGCTTTGATTCTTGAGACTGGTATGCTTAATTAAATGTTATTATGTTCAATTGGCTTTTCAAAGTTATTTTTTTGGGCAATTTTGTGATGAATTTCTTCATAAGTGATCTTTGGTTGGTTTTTATAATGTGATCATGTGTGTTTTCATCGCAATGTTAACAATTTAGAGCTATGTCTTCTTGGAAGTTGGAACCTTGCTAGATGTGTGAGAATTGTGACTTGTATTGATTTTGCAGCTTGTATAATGTATAATTTTATTTTATTTTTGGTTGATCTATTGTTTAATGTGAAGAATCATTATCTGAATCGGTTTTTCGCCACCTCAGATTTTAGGGGAAAGGATTGTGTTGTTGCTATTTAAGGTTTGTTCAACTAAATGATCTTTGTCTTGATGATAAGGTTTAATGGTATTTGACCTTTTCCTTGCATTGATGTTGGCCATGACTAATGACTTTTTGAGCAGAAATGACTATCTAAGAGGTATTGTGAGATAAGTTAATTCGCGGGTTTGATCAGGAAGATTTATATAGTTATATGAGGTACTGCTAGAAGCAGGGCAGAAAACTGTGCAAGCAATATGACCTGTGTGGTTGTGTACTAACTATAGATAAAATTTGTGCTGACTCTTGGTACACCTCTTAGCTCTAGGTAACCGAAATTTAGCTGATAAAAGAGAGGATAGCTACACAGCAATATGTTATTTTTGATGTGAAATGTTGATCTAACTTTATGGAAGGGTTTCTATACCCTTGTAAGTGGGACTGCTAGTTTTTTTCTTTCCTGAATCTGATTCCGAAAGATTCCATATATTATCAAACTTCTTGTAAATTGGAGATCTCGGCCTTTAGAAGCTCGTTGATCAGGAGTACCAAATTTTAAATGAGGACCTTTGAACACATTGGAGCTGTTTATAAAAGACTTTTTGAGTTAAAGATTACCGCAATGCAAATTTCACGTAGATTAGCATATAGTTCAACTTCTAAATGCAAATGATTCCTGATCATAAATAATGCCAAGGAAAGTGTACTTGTCCAATGCAATGCACACATCCTTGCAGGCTTTCTAAAAATTGCAGTTCCTTAACTTTTTAAGATTATTTGTGGTGCATTCTGAGACTACAAGTACTTCTATGATACTTTTTTATCTGGATAAAGTTTGGCAAACATGCAGAAGAAACTAGTTTGTTTTTGGATGCTTTCATTCTTTGAATGAAATATCTTGAAGCATAGTATTTGAAGTTTGAACTATCTATCTATCTCAACAGTGACTGCAACTGGACTCACATATGTTATGGGACAGCGCTATATGGAGACATCAAAGATAATGCCTGCTGGAGTAATTGCCATGATCAGGTACCTTGATTAGAAAACTCCATAATCTGTTATTCTCTTTTCATTATTAGCATGGCTTCCTTGCATCTTCATGGCGGCTAAATCCATTAAGAGTTCTCCATGAAATTAAAAGGAGCCTTGGGTGATGTTACACTTGTAAATCATTGGCTAAATGTTACCCCAACTACATGTTATTTTAGGAATTTTTACACATAAGAATTTGAATAAATTTGGTTTAATTTGCATTACATTTAATATTAGTATGTTGCTCTAGATTGGTCTACATTGTTAAATTGCTAATGTTAATTGAAATACAACATTGCATTATTATTATATTTTGGATCAAAATGAAGTAGCTAAAACGACTTATATCCTGGAACAGATTAAGTACTCTTAAACAGTTAAACCAGGAAAATTCATGCATGAGCACTTAAGATTTCATGATATGAGGTTTAGAATACACAATTAAATATGTTTATTTACAAAGCCTATGATTAGTCACTGTGAAAAACCATGACATACAAAGTAAGGGCCTGTTCTCTTACGTTGAAATTCAGTTCAGTTCATCTCAGCTCAGTTCAGTTCAGCTCCTAATTTCCTTCTCTTATAAAATATTCATTTCATTTCAGTTCAGTTTAGTTCTGTTCAACTCAGCTCAGCTCAGTTCAGTTCAGCTCAGCTCAGTTCAGTTAATGAGAACAGGCCCTAACTCATAATCATATGCTATGCTAACATATGTTTAATTTATGCATGTGTTAATTAAAACATCTTTTTCTAGCTCCTTTGCTTGATGTTATTTCTTCCTTCTCTGATAGATTCTCATCCATCTCTCATTCTTCTCATTCTTGTTATTTGCAGTGCATTCATGACTGCCTTTTATGCTTACAAGGTAGCAAGTGGTGGCAACCATTTTCCGGCCAAGGCTGAATAATGATAGATTATACCATTGTCAAGTTGAAAAGTTCTGTTGACTGCCCTACAGCACATTTCTGATGCATACTAGTAACATTCTTTTTCTTACAGCTACTGTGAATCCTAGCTATGTGTAGAGAAGTTAAGATCTCTATTTTGCCTGCTTTTACTTATGTAAGATGTATTTGTATTGAAATCTGACAAATGTATGTGTATCCGAGATACTAATTTTTCTTAGAAATGAAATGATGAGTTGATTTCTAATTTACTACTCTTTGATTATGCGTACAACTTTCATTCTTAGTGACTTCAGAGATGGCCAATTTGCCTTGCCATTTTGCCAGTTTTACTTATTTTTGCTTAGGAAGAGTAAGCTATCCTGTAAAAACTCTGCCTAGTTTGACCCTGAAATAGATGCATAACAGAGAATTGTCAAAGAATTACTACTGTCTTGGCATTTGGCCTTCAAACTGTAGGTATGTTGAATTCTTCCCCATACAGTCCAAGCGATCCGGGTTTTTCAAAGGTATGTATGACGAGAAATTACAGACGATAAAAAAATTGTAACAGAATTCAAGTGCTCATGAACTGATTTTATCCTTCATCGGCATAATTTGGATCAGCAAAACGTACTGTATTAAACAACCGCTTATTACATACTGAATCGTTATGAAAGGATGCAATTCTGCTGTGTGCAGTTATGTTGGAGCTTAATAAGTTCGGCTAATTCAGTCTCAGATCTCAGCGCTTAATAGTTTTTTAAACCGCTGACTTTTGCTCCATATAAGAAGGTACATATTGTCGCAGCAATTATCAGTAGAAATTAAATAACCGAGTACACTCTTAATAACTAACAAGTCAAGTGTTTGTTGCTCAAGCCATTGTATCATGTTTCCATTCAAATTCGCTTAAATACTTACAGCAAAAACTAATCCTAAAACAATCTTACGGCATCTGTGTCACATATTTTTCTCGAATCATGAACATGGAACTTGGAGGTATCTATAAAGTTGGAGAAAAAACCATTCTCTTAAGGCTCAAGCCATAGTAGATAGATCTTGTTTCTCATACAGTAGAAAATAATAGACTTGTTATTAACACAAATTATGTCCAATTATTTATTTGATTTTGTTTATTAAAAATAATAAAAATAAAAAAATAATAATAAAAAAGTTTTTTACTTTGATCAAATAATGTCTAATGCATTTGGAATCCGTAGTTAATTTGATTTATGCATAACTATACAGGTTGTCATGTGAAGACAATCGATATGCTAGCAATCTAGCATGCAACAAGCTTAATAACATGTGCGCTAAGTAAGAAGTGCATGAAAAATGCTAATTTAGTCAAGTTTACTAATAACAACTAATCATAAATTAACCCAAGATCCAATATTAGTATAGTACATTTTGTTTTAATTACCTAAAGACAAAACTTGGATCAAAAATAACATTGAAAGTTAATACTAGTAAATTGCAATGATCCAGTGGGGGCTGTTTGGTACACTATAGGGAAAAGGAATAATGGAATTACATTTGTGGGTAATTTTGGTAAAGACCATTAAACCACCATCTTAAACATGATTATTTCCAACTTATTGAAAACTATAATGCTAAATGGTAATAAAAGACACCACATAACGAAAGATTTCAAATCTATGTGTTGATTGCAGGACATCTCTAATGAGCAGGATCGCGTCCTTAGCCATCACGAGAAGAACTCAAACCAAGACCTTGGAACTGCTAGCCAGACAAACGAGGGCTTGGATGCAGAAGTGTAAAATATGCAAGCTGCACGTACTCTATCCCTTTATAAGAGGGGATTTAAATGTGACTGTAAACATGGTAACAAATAACTATGCTACTGCAGCAACTTATTCTATGCTGCTATAAGCCTTTCGATTTCAGGGGAAACTTTGTCAATATCAATGAAGTACAAAACTCCTGATTATAGTGAAATACAACTGATCACTTGTGAATGATCTTCTCAGCGAAGATATGCAGGAAAATATGTGGGAGCTGTTGCTCCGACATACAACTAAAGATCGATTGTAAATTTGTAACCATAACTGAAGAATCAATTTGAGAGATCACTTGCTAAAAGCAAAGGTGAAACTTATATATAATCAAGGTCAAATCAAGCTACAACAAAAGTTTGCATTAAGATTAATCATGTGTACATACAATACTATCTATGGTATGACTAGCTGAACCAAATATACACCTTACATCAACCTACATATGATGTTTTTACACGAAAATTATGTACAGAAATAACATGAAAGTTAAAAAATCCTGCTATTTGGCTAAAACCAACTAGTGTGACTCATTAACAGTTATTTGGTCTGTAATATTTTGGAGGAAGGGATGGACACTTTTCGTTCATATGTGGGTACGGATCAATGGTATTGTAACCGGGCAATTCCATTCTATATCTTCCTCGGATTTGACAAAAAGGAAGCTCCACATTATCATTGTCGTTGCACCAACTCGGAAGCCGACTTAGATCATCTTCGAAAAACTTTAGTGAGTAGGCATCCTTTATCTGCAATCAAAGCAAAACATATCAATCCTTCGTTTCACAAAGACAGTGAGAATAGAAGTCCTCAAACTTGTGCCCCGAGTTACATTAAAATATTAGCAGTTCAGCTGCCTGTTTATATTGGAGCAATTAAACGATGATCAAATCGTAAGGTAGCTGAGTGATAAAAAAATTTAAAATAAAAAAATTAAAATAAAAAAAAAATCTTAAGTGATGCTGTATTGTTAAAAGACCGTTGGGGCCTTATGGGGATTTTGGTGTACGCAAGGGCACTGTTACTGAATCATGCTACATATTATATGAAGCACGAGGACAGCGATTAACCCCATTAAACAGGGCCAGTTAAAAAATTTGTAGAGTGAGGATAAAAAAAACTCACAGTGAACTCAGTTGCTTGAATGGAACTAGAAAGTGGCCCAAAGAGTCCAGCTGCCTTGTATATTTGAAGAACATAAGCAACACACGAGACTGACGATCCATCTTCATAGATCCAATCATCTTGCTCAGGAATAGCAAGCAACTGATCAAAGGATGAGCCACGTTTTTCAACTTCTACAAGAACTTCAGGAAGATCAAGATCCTGCATAGAGAAAGGGTAGCCGCAAAAAAGCAAAAATCATTTACAAAAGTCAAATCCCTGTATAAATATTTTTGTAACAATTTTTTTTATTAGAGACAACATTCCATTCCTTCCCTGATTATCATAAAATAATGTTCCTTAAAAATAAAGGGTGGTAGCACACGAGGGGAAATTCAGTGGTTCAATAGAACATGCTAATCAGGAAGCAACTAATCACCGTTCACATCTTATCGATCAGTTGGGACAATAGATGAGTCAATCACAAAAACTAAGAATGAGAGACATTATGGAACATTTACCTCAGTTCCCAACCGCTTATTCAATGCTTCCTTCCACAAGTTGGCTGCATAAGCAGGCTGCATCTGATACCATATTGTCATTACAGAAGCAACCTGAAAAAAAGGAAACATAGAGATGTATAAATAAACTAAATTGTACTACTATAAAATAAAACCATCAGTCAGATCATGAATTTTGTACATCAAAAGGCCTTTAATTATGTTTATCATAAAAGTGAAATTGAAATATCTAACGCTGAAAGTGATAAAGACATAAAAAAGACTGATAAAACTAATGGATAAACACTCCAAACAACTGATATACCTAAACACTTTCGAACTTTTAAGACACTAAAAGATTAGCTACCACTTTTCAAATAAGAAAATAACCTATTGACATAATGATAGTAATAATCTAAGATATTGTATACATAAAACATTACCACCTGTAATACCTATTACTTCCTCGAACCAAACTTGAATCTTTCAATTCATTTGGCCAGCAGGCGGGCGGCGTGCTTATCTTGTGTGCGTTCTATTAATATTGCAACAAAGGATGAAATTACGCATCCCAAAGCACAATTTATATGCTAAATATCTATAATTATGTAAGAGTAAAAATTGTAAAAGGTTGATATTGTGAAAGTATTTTATGAGACAAATCCAACAAGATCTCACATGACTATATTTTGCTAAAGGTATAAATCATATTATATGGTCAAACAATAGTGATGAATAGTGCAAAAAGTCCATTGTTGCAATAAAATTAGTGATTCATAGAACGCAGGAAGTACAACATATGAACAAGTCCATGAAGTTATTTTCCAAAAAAAAAAAAAAAATTATGTTGCAAAAAATTAGAAAAGTCAAGGTTTATAATGATATGTAGCTAATAATGCTTATCCTACTATTCGAACTTTGACATAATAACCAATTTCTGATAAAATAAAAAGATATATACAGAAAAAAAAAAAATATATATATATATATATATATCAATGCCTGCAACAAAATTTAAAGAATTTTCATGTTTTGATACTTACAAGTGATAATAACTAGTACACACACCATTTATCAATGTTTAATTACAGGGAATTCTCAATTCAGAGATTGTGTGGTTACAACTGTACAAGGATTAGCAGCAAACTGTGTATGCAGCTAAAAGTTGCCGCAGAGTGAACACAAATTCTTGAGCATCAAAATCAATATTCATGTTATCGTGATATGACATCAAGGATATAAAGCAGAGTATTGACAATAAATAATAAAGTAAAGTGAAAAGATGAACTCATTAGTCAAGAGTTACCCATACAAAGAATTTAAATTGGAAAGAATGGTAGGACAATTTCAAGGAATTCAATAATCCCAGAATACAAAGGACTAAGCTTAAAGAGAATGTAAGAAATATGTCATACCAGATGTGCATCCAAAGGAGGAGGATAATTCTTATCAATAGTGTCTACCCAGCTGAAAATAAGGTTATGGTAACCATATGGCTGCCCATCCATGCTTCTTGCATACTCCCAAGCAGCACTTTCATTAAATTTGGCACGTAGAGAAGGATGTAAGGGAAGCAATGCAATGTGGGGATTGGCGTTATCTTTAGTCAACTCATATTCCCACCACTCATCCCAAGTAAGCAAAGCTACAACATCTTCTCCCTGTAACATGAAATTACAAAAATTCAGTGTCAAACTGATACAAAACAAATGAAGCCAGGTAAACCTCTAAGATAACAATTAAAGTTATCAACTTATCACTAAGCAGCAAATGGTTAAATTATATTTGAGTTGATTTAGTTGATACAGACATTTATATATTCATAAAGTTTGTAAAACTCTGCAGAATCATAGCAAAATGACAGGACATCATTGATTCACCAT